GCAGCGACCCCTGCCGGCCCTTCCCTCTCGGAGCGCAGCGGGGCCTTGAGTCGCCGGCGGGCAGCAGGGCAGGGCCGCGCTGCGTCGTACCGGCCTGCGAGCTGTTGCCGCCCGCCCCACGCGGTGCTTCTATAAGGTGTTAGAGCTGCGGGCAGCACGGCCCCAGCAGTGGCCAGAGGGAAGGTCCCTGCGCAGCCTGCAGGCCTAGCTCCGGACTCCTCCCGGCGCGCCGCGGGGATCGCCTCACCTGCTGTGCAGCTGTGAAGGGTTACTTGCTTGCTTTGTCATCAGCGGGAGTGCGCTGTCCTTGCAGAGGCCGTGGGAAAGCAGCTAGCGAGATCTGACGCGGTCGGATCATAGCTCCAGGAGAGGGGAGTGTAGAGCGCGGCAGAAGGCTCTGAGCTAGACCCAAGACCGTTCACAGCAGCGGGCCCCGTGTTTTGCTGATGACCTTCACCATTTTACTGACGGCAGAGTGGGTGGTGAAGCAGTGACTGGTTCGCCGATCCCAAGTAGCTGTTACGGCATCAGGAATCTTGAGCAGAGTGCTCTCCATAGCACTTGCTAGGACCGTGCATTGTCTTAAAATTATATAAATAAATAAATAAAAATCAAAGTTATTCTCTTCCAAACTCAAGTGTGAATCAGCCACACCAGCAGCATTTTTCATGCACCTATTTAGATCGTGAATATTATCCGGTTCTTGAAAAGTGCTGCTGCAGCCCTTGTTAGCATTGGTTTTAAACTTCTCTTTATTCTTAATGGACTGCATAAAAAAACACTGTAACTTGCCTTATGTCGTACAGATAGTGCATGGTAAAACCAGAAACCAAATCATGGAATCATAGAATCATATAATTGAGTTGGAAGGGAGTCCCAAAGGTCACATAGTCCAACCTCCCTGCAATGAACAGGGACGCTCACAGCTCTGTGAGATTGCTCAAAGCCTGGTCCAGCCTGATCTTGGATGTCTGTAGGGACAGAGCATCCACCACCTCTCTGGGCAACCTGTTCCAGTGTTCCACTAACATCACTTTAAAAACCTTTTTTCATTATATCTACTCTAAATCTCCCCTCTTTTAGTTTGAAACCATTTTCCCTTGTCCTATCACAACAGACACTGCTAAATAGTCTGATCCCTTTTACAGCCACCCTTTACATACTGAAAGGCAATTCTCTGATCTCCCTGGAAACTCTTCCCCTTCAGGCTGAACAGCCCCTGCTCTCTTAGTCTGTTCTCTTAGGGGGGGATTTCTACCCTTCAATCATTTTTGTGTCCCTCCTCTGAACATGCTCCAATAGGTCCATGTCTCTCCAGTAGTGAAGGCTCCACGTTTGCACACAGTACTCCAGGTGAGATCTCACCAGTGCAGAGCAGAGGGGCAAGACCACCTCCCTTGACCTGCTGGCCATGCTTGTTTTGATGAAGCGCAGGGTACAGTTGACTTTCTGGGCTGTAAGGGCACATTGCTGGCTCACATCTAGCTTCCACTCACCAGTACCATAAAGTCCTTTTCAATGGCTATGCTCAATCTTCTTGTCTGGGATTGTACTGATAGCAGAGGTTGCTACAGCCCGGTACAAGACCTTTCGCCTGGATTTGATGAACCTCATGAGGCTCTCCTGGGCCCACTGCTCAAGCCTGCCTTGGTCTCTCTTGATTACATCCCATCTCTCAGGCATGTCATCAAGCACCACACAGCTTGATGTCATCCACAGAAGACTTGCTGTGGGTGCTCTTGATCCCGCTGTCGATGTCACTGATATTAAGATATAAGATATTAAAGAATGTCTCTCCCTGTACAGACCTTGTACTGAAGCACATAACTTGTCACTGATCTCCATCCAGATACTGAGCCATTAAGACAATTCTGTGGATACAGCCTTGAAAACAGTTCCTGTTCGTCAAAGAGTTCACCCAAAAAATCCATATCTTTCCAATTTATTGAAAAGGATGTTATGGGAGACCATGTCAAAGTCCTTACTGGAGTCCAAACAGATTATATCAGTGGCTCACTTCTTGTCTATTGATGCATTTAATACCATCATAGAAGACTACTAGGTAAGTCACGCAAAACAATCCTGAGTTTGGATGCAGTCCCAGTCATTCTAGACACAAGTTCCTTTTCTTTCATTAGCTCAGTTTCTCAGTTCTTGACTCCTAGTAGTCAAGAAGTCAAGGTAGTATTGAAGAAATAATGAAGAGGACATGCTGACATAAGATGTTTTGAGAAGCAACTTATGCAGAAAGCTGAATATCTAAATAGAAATGTTATAACTAGACATATTTGTACAAAAAACCTTCTGCAGAATTTTACCCTGTCTTGGTAGTGTATATTCAAAAAGCGTAATGAAGAATGCTGTGCAGTGTGTCGCTTCCACACTGTGCACTTGATTAAAGTGAGAATGTCCAGATCTTATTGGCCAGGCTTTGTGCTGAAGTGCATAAATCAGAGGGACACTGCAGGATATTGGACAAAACCTACTTATACAGGAATTCTTCCTGTGGAGAACTGCCCACACTGGGAGCACCACTGATGTATACATTCATCATTCTCTGTTTTAGGCAGTTCTGATAATGCTCATAGTCTTGGGCATCTTCCCTGCCGTGTGCCCAGAGCGTCTTGCTGGTCCTGGTAGCACAAAGCAGTGAGCACCCAATGTCTCCAAGATGTGTGCAGCAGCACCATGTGAAGTCCATCTACACCGTGCCAGGAAGATGTCAGGGGACAGTTGTGGGCCAGACTGCATATATACAGCCACACATATACACAGCCATACAATCTTCACTTTCTAAATACTTGTCTTGTGTCCTTCTGAGCAAAGAGTGACTGTTCTCTGCATTTCTTTCCCATTACTGATGACTTTTTAAAATTATCTCTTCCATATCTAAAGTTAGAAGGGAAGTTTATCTTTCAGAATCTAGTTTTCCCCCTCCCGCTTCCTCGGGGCCTCATGCCAAGGAATGAAATTTATCAGGGCAGAAATAACTCTATATCTGAATGAACCTTTTGTGATAAATGATATTCTTCCCACCCTGTGTGCCAGAATGCTTGGCAGTTAGCATTCCAAACAAAGAGAAATCCACCATTGCTTGCTTTGATTATGTTTGCAAAAGAATGATTGCTTTTTAAAAGGAAAAAACCAAAGTTTAATAATTCCAAATCTAGCAATGCATTGTTCTCTGTTTTAAATAAACAATAAATTGAACATGTTAGCTGTGACTAAGCTACAGTGTGTGGATGTAACACCCACAAACATCATGGTGTTCCTCTATTTCTGGAATTGCCATGGCTGTCCTGAGAAGGTTTGGACGGCAGCTACAAGCAGTGGGGTCAGCAATATATGGAGCTGCTGCAGCTGGCTAGGCCCATGCTGCTGACCTGTGCCGACCCTGTGCATTCTTGTGGCAGTTTGTGCAGAAGTCTTTTCTATTGCTGTTTTCTGCAAGCAAGGAGTTAGGGGCCCCTAATGCAGCTCAACTTCTCAGAGGCAACATGTTAAGCTCTGTTCATTCAGCCAGAGTCTGCAAGGGTCTGTTCACAGCCAGCACTGAAGATCAGTCCAAACATTAAGAGCCAGAATCAAGAACAGTTCTGACAGGTGGTGCAGGGGCAAGGAGCAAGTTTAGCCTTTGGTCTGCTACTGAAAAAGAAAGCTACTGTGATCTCCATGGGGATCTCCACTTACCCATAGTGGATATCCCCAGTCCTTCACCACAAACAAGCCAGAATAAGGGAAGACCTTTATTCCTCCAGATTTTTGTTTTATTTTTTTATTTTTCCCCCGGAAGTCCCTGCAAATCCTCCAAATTCACACGGATTTGGCATGCAAGCCTGTCCATGTGTCCTGTCAACACGAAGGCTCATGCCACATGCTTCGTAGCTTTATAGGCAGCAGTGCTTTCTTTCTCACTTAGACTCACAGAAGATACACTTGATGCACAAGCTCAGGTACTCTGTTAGCAGAGTGAGGCATATTTACACTCACTGGGAAGGTGAGAGTGGAAATGAGCATGTGTTTTATCAGCTCAATCACTTCTCACTTAACATGTAAAGACCTGAATCTGGCAGAGTACCCCAGAGCTTTTCTGTGATGTAAAAATAAGATTTTTAAACAAAAGCAGCTCACCAATTGTGAATTCAAAGGGAATTTTTGCAGATCTATTCCATTTCAGCACTTCCTCTGTCAGAAAGGAGCTTCAGTAAATAGTGGCAGTGATTTTGTTGCTTCTTTCCAAGCCTGCAGTCAAATCTCTGTGCAAGGTCTTCATTCACTGCTCTTTTTTTTTTTTTTCCTGATAGAAATGCAATACCATAAAAATTTTTTTACAGTTATTGTCTGTGCAAGAACCAGGGCTGATAATTGGGTTTCTAGCACACTTTCTATAACTTCCTTGAATTTTCTTTGTAGGCATTTATATGGTCCTGGAAAGCTGTAATTATTTAACTTCCTTCTTTGTTTCCTCTCTCACCCTCTGCTCCCGGTCTGTTTAAGGTGCATGTTATGTTCGTGCTATCTTTGTACATTGCCTGGCTTTAAGCAATTTCCTATTAGATTGGCTTCTCTACTTGCTATTGTGATATAAATAATAAATAATGCTGCAATTTAATTTTTTTTATTGTTATTTCAGGAGCTCTCGAGTTTAACTTTGTTTTCCTATTTATAAAAATATGAGTTTTACTGGTTTTACCAGGGACATTAAAGGTCATTCCTTTAGGCACTGTGGAAAGCAGGCTTTGCTGAGAGATGCTGCTGTGAAATTTGGCAGAAAGGTCAGGGGATGAGAGCGAACCCCCTGGAATCCTCTTCAACATCTACTTTTTCTCACCATTAGTATTAATATTCCCAAGTGTCTTACTGATGGAATGGAGACTTTTACAGATTTACACCATTGGTGGTGCTGACTAGGCTCAAGTGTTTTTCTTCTCATTCTGGAAAAAATTCCCTTCCTCCCTTCCTCCCTTCCCTTCCTTCCTTCCTTTCTTCCTTCTCATACCTTTTCTTTTTTTTTTTTTTTTTTTTTTTTTTCCTGGCCAAAGCAGCATGCAAAGAAATTACTAGTACTTTCACAATAATTCTGTTTCTAGCTTTAAAATATATATTTTGATGCTGTATCTGGTGTCAGGTACATTTTGTACCTCTAAAGGGACTTCTGTTCTCTATGTGAAATGTGGAGCATCAGTGTGCACAAAGCCATGGGATCTGATTTCATACACCCATATGTGCTGAGGGAGCTGGCAGAGGTGATTGCAGAACCGCTCTCTATCATCTTTGACAGGTGTTGGAGTACAGGAGAGGTGCCTGAAGACTGGAGGATAGCCAGTGTCACTACAGTCTTCAGAAAGGGCCAGAAGGAGAATCCGGGGAATTACAGGCCAGTCATTCTCACCTCTTTCCCTGGAAAGGTGATGTAACAGCTTGTTCTGGATGGCATCTCCAAGCAATCGGAAGAGAAGAAGGTCATCAGGAATGGTCAGCATGGACTCACGAAGGGAAAATCGTGCTTAATCAACCTTGTAGTCTTCTATGATGTCATCACCAGCTGGGTAGATAGGGGGAGAGCAATAGATGTGGTCTACCTTGACTTCAGCAAGGCTTTTGATAATGTCCCCCGTGACATCCTCATAACAAAGCTAAGAAAGTGTGGGAAAGATGTATGGATAGCAAGGTGGGTTGAGAACTGGCTGATGAGCTCAGAGGGTGGCAATCAGCAGTGCAGAGTCCGGTTGGAGACCTGTAACTAGTGGTGTTCCTCAGGGGTCAGTGCTGGGTCCAGACTTGTTCAGTATCTTCATTGATGACCTTGATGAGGGTGTAGCATCCACTGTGAGCAATTACGCTGACACAAAGCTGGGAGAAGTGGTTGACATGCCAGAGGTTGTGCTGCTATTCAGCAAGATCTGGACAGACTGGAGAGCTGGGCAGTAAGAAACCAGATGAGGTTTGAGAAGAGCAACTGTAGAGTCCTGCACCTGTGGAGGAATAACCACAAGTATCAGTACAAGTTGGGAACATGACCTGCTGGAGAAAAGCTCTGTGGGAAAGGACCTGGGGTTCCTGGTGAACCACAGGTTGGCCATGAGCCAGCAGTGTGCCTTGGTGGCCAAGAAGGCCGATAGGATTCTGGGTTCCAGGTCAAAGGAAGGGATCCTTCCCATCTACTGTGGGAAATATGCCCCCGTCTTCAGTAAGACCAGGTTTTTACCATGTGTTTGTGTGTTTATAGCTTTGTAACACAGTATTTTGAGTGTCTGGGTCTTTATTTATTTATTTATTTTCCCCCCACTTAGTATCAGGAAGGTTCATGCTCAGTTACACTAATAAATTGCAATATACCTTTTCCCTTGCTGCTGGTTTTGTTATTTGCTGCAGCTAGACATTTAAAAACAGAATCCTACTTGGCAGGTGGATGGGTGGTACTAAAAGCCTGCTTGCTCAGCTTGGCTGAGCAGTTAGCCATTCCATTAAGACATACCTCCTTTCCTCCTTTACACAGTAGGCAGCAAGTTACATCAACTCACAGATTGCTGGTAGTTTTGACCTTTTTCCAACCTGCTACATTACTTTGGAATAACTTTCAGTCTCAAGCCACCAGAGACTGACATTTATTTAGAGCAGGACATGCATGTTGACGAAAAAGGAAAAGCAACTGCTTTTCCTATATTTTTTCCTATATGCACAGTAATGTTGTGTCCTGAAGCACCATCTTTCTGCTTGCTACTGAAATCTGTAACAGTGCTATCATTAAGTACAGGCATTTATTCTGTGTCCATAGCACTGGTCAAAAGAGTTGGGGTTTCACAATAGAACTAGATGATGTAGGGGAAAAATATGCTGAGCTTTCCTGAAAATAAGAATCCTTAGGACTGCTTATAGAGCTCGGAGAATTTTAGAAAGCTCGAAGCCAGAGGCAGGATATATGTGACAATCCATCAAAAAACTTAACTCAAACACCATCCCCACAGCAGAAAAATGTATGTGTGAGGTTATGCAGCTTTTTATTTTTGTGCCATCAGCCTCACTGGTTCCTGCTTGGGTGAAGCACAGTTGCGGCTTGCCTGTCCAGCTGCACTGCCACAGTTTGCCATGGCAGGGCATGGCTTTTTGTGTGGGGCAGACCTGAACATGTCTTTTTTTCCTGAACTGAGCAAGACCACTGGTGCAGCAAATGACGCTGAAGACAGAGTACAAGTGAATGGTGAGAGAACATCTCTGCAGAAGTGAAAAGTTCTTCACAGGTGCTGAGGGAATGAAAACAAAATGTTTATGGACATAGTTAATAACTGAAAGTTATAGCTACACGCAATCATCAATGCTGTATGAGTAATTAAAACAAGATATCAGATTACATGGATGTTGCCCATAATATTTGGCAGGAAAATGTCTTCCTGAGATGCAAGTGGATGACAATATCCATTCTGAATTCTGGTCTCCGGTGTGCAATGGGAAGTGAAATCTCAATCTTTTGTGGTGACAGAACTACAAAAGGACAAAAGCATACTTGTAAGTTGAAATGTGACTAAGATATACTAACAGTAAAATATTAGTATGAAATTCCAGGCTTGCCAGAGCTAATAAATTCTAGTTTCTTATGTTCTTTTCTCTGTATGGTCTGATAAAAAAGTCAGATGAACAAAGTCTTTCTGGCAGGTGAGATGTTCACCAACTCTCTGCTGTGTGGTTTCTCTGCAATCTAATAAAGGACAACAAAAACTTACAGGAACTTACAAATCTGAGACTTTATCTTTTTATGACAAAAACTAAGATTTACACAGCATTCACAGCTTAAAGCAAGGTAAGAAAAACTTATTTATTTGAATAGGAAATTAAAAAAGAGAGAGAGAAAAACTTGATCTGAAAAGAAAGCTAATAGAATAATGAAAACTGCCTTAAAGGAATATCAGATTTTCACATTTATGTGTTTGAGAGAATTAGCTGTGAAAATGGGGCTATCCAATCACCCAATTCACATAATAGAAATCACAGCTACTGCAGGCAGTCAGAATACAATTTTTCCAGTTTAATACCTTAAGAAATATATGGTAGCAAAAAGTTCTGCAAGATGATTGTTCAAATATTGTCTGAAAGTATATTTCGTCTGGCTCTTGAGTGACTGCCTTTTCTCCTCTATGGCACAAAATTGACAAAGGAATATTTAATCAACCATTCTCTTTCCCTTCCTAAGTCTACATTTGACCTTAATTTATTTTCTTTCCTCACAAAACCAGGGGAAACATGGGAAATTTCCCTTGGATGTCATTTGTACCAGCATTGCTTTCTAACTTATCAGAGCACTGGGATATCTGACCTAAAGTATGATCCTGTAATATCCAAAGAGAAAAGTAAGCATTCTGGAATAAGGGGCTCTAAATCATTGGGACTTATGCTGGGGGGAAAAAAAAAAAAAAAAAAAGGATTCACTCTTATGACTTAATTAGTAAGCTGTAACCTGAAAGGTATAAAGCATGGGTGGGTGCCCACTGGGTGTATTTTGCACCTGTGCCTTCAGCACCTGCTTGGCAGCGGGAGCAGTGCAGGAAGCTGGGGCTGTGTAGGAAGCCTAAGAATGCCTATGTTTCATTTCACCCATAACGGCCTCCTTCTGCTGAGGTCAGGCCACAGAGTGTCTGCCTCTTTACTAGAACAGCCAACACTGGTGCTGAAATGTATTGGAAGTATGCTAATTGGCATAATCATGTCCTGGAATAGAGTTTGGTGTCCTCTGAGCAATTGCAAAGAAAAAATTAAGCACCACGTGATAACGTTGGTGGGCAAACTTAAAAAAAATTGAGGCTTTAAATGCATATTAAATGTTATTCAGGTTCCAAACTGGGAGATCTTGGAGCTTCTTCAGATATTAAACTCCCATTGAAATTTACAGCAACTCCAGCAATCTCTCAAAAAGCAGTAGGTTTTTTATTCACCTGAGTAGATTTCAACTATTTGTTCTAGAACGGTTATTTCTATAAAAAAAATACACCAGCATAGATTCTGCTCGTAAGCAAATCACATACACTACCTGAACAAGTTCAGCAGTTTGTCAGGCTATCCCCTGGTAGTTCGTATAACTTACTTTTTCAGCATTCCAAAGAGTCAAGCAAAATGTTGATGAATTGCTTTCCACTTTAAAGATCCCTGACAGAGAGACTGATTACAGTGTGCATAAATCAGTAAAAAAAAAAAAAAAAATTACAGTGAAAATGTGTAGAATAGCAGCAGGGAGCTACCAAATATAATGTACTGCCTATTTATACATCTAGGAAGACATTCCAAGGATTTGTGTGCTGAACTATCTCATAGAAATTCTCTTTTCCTCGAACAATCCACAGCTGAGCAGTAAATGGCAATGATTCATAAATAGAGATAAATAGAGCTGTGCCCTCGAGAATATAAGGACATGTAATTTCGGAAACTCAGTATGTACTTTAGTGTTTTATGTCCACCATGTGATTGCTTCCTTTTTGGTTTCTGTATTTTTAGTCCTATTGGTCCAAATGTGTGTTTGGGAACAGATGGAGCACCACTTCATCTTGTTGGAACCACAAGCAGCCTACTGGTGGGATAAAGCCATATCGACTTGAGGTGGCTCAGCTGTTGGTGCACAGCCTTGTTCTACCCACTGAGCTAGGAATTCAAAGCAGGGAGCAACGTCAGCATATCACACTGCCTGCTGCTACTGGCTTTATTTTGATTGCTTTATTGGAAAGAAGAAGGTCTGCAGAACATTTAAAGCAAACAGATTGCCTCAGTATGCAGAGGACTAAAAACAACATGCTGCTCCCCGAATGCTTAGTATTTTGTCACCATCAAGTTATACATAGCCAGTTCTATTCTGAGGCTTGTCCCTAAGGCATCTGAAGCAATGGGAGCTTAAGCCAAAATCTTCCTGGAAAACTTTTAGCACAATTTACTCATACAATGTGGGAACACAATTTAAAAACACTGACATCCAAAAGCTTAATGCGTTAAGCTTTTCTTTGAAGGTATTTCTTACCAATGCTTTGCCAGTGCTAGGACAGCTTCACTAATGTTTAGGACAAGTAGGAGTGAGAGCAAAGACATGCTGCTGGCAACCAGTGTTCCACATAGCGGTGTTGTACCAGAAGATTTCCACCACGTTCAGGAATGGTTGGGACTCTCTGACAAAAATCTTGGGTAGTTGCTACTGGAAGTTTATGGATTGGCACTGTAAGATACTTCATTCGTGAGATATTTATGGTGACAATCTGGACTTTGTATGTGGGATATACTTGCAGGAGTTTAAAAAAAATGTGCTAACTCTTTTGGGCCGTTTTTCCTTTTTTTTTTTTCCTTACCTCATTTTGGATTTGAAATATACTGAGGGATTTCATGGAAGTGAAATCCTTTTACTTTCTCCCATGCCACTTCCTTAAGAATGAAGGATATATTTATAATGACCTAATCTGACAAGAAATAAGTAAATAAATAATCACTGTATCCCAGTGAAATCCATTAAGAATTTCCCACTAACCTCTATGGAAGCTGGATTAAATCCCAAGAATTGCATTAGTTTTGGAGCAAATATAAAAGGAGAATGGATGTCTTCCTTCGGCAAGAAGAGAATGAGGAACTTTCTGAGGGTATCAAATTAGAGACATGGGGCTCATGTTCCTTTTATTATGCCTAGACAATATAGTGTGGCAACAGAACAATTAAACAGTTTCTGGGTTTCCTTAAAAATTTCCTCATACTGCCTTCTACAGATAAGACTTGAACACACACACACGCACAAAAAAACACCTCTCTACCAGCAGTTATAATATTCCTCCCTCCCCAAACTGTTCATCTTGCATTATTAATGAATTCATTTTTACTCTTACAGTATCTCAGTCTAAGAATACACACAGGCAGTTCCATGTTTGGATGAGCCTAGGGAACACACAGTGCCTGTCATTTGTGCTGTGCCTTGCCTGTGAGACAGCACTAACCAGGATTAGCAGTTTGCTGGGCG